AGAACAGCACCACCAAGGCTGGAGACGGAGCAATACTGGAAGAGCATATGGGAGAAGGATGCAACCCATAACGGCAATGCTCAGTGGCTAGAGGATCTGAGGGCAGACCACAGCGACCTCCCTGAACAGGGTCCAGTAACCATCACAGTGGCAGATATCCAAGAAAGGGTCTCCAGTATGAAGAGTTGGACAGCACCAGGGCCCGACATGGTTCACGCCTACTGGCTGAAGAAGCTGACTGCACTCCACGAGCGTCTGGCAGCACAAATGAACCAGCTGCTAGTTAACGAAAGACACCCGGAATGGCTAACTGAAGGCCGGACGGTCCTGATCCCCAAGGACCCCAAGAAGGGACCGGTCCCCTCCAACTACCGACCAATAACCTGCCTCAGTACTACATGGAAGCTCCTGTCAGGCATCATATCGGCTAAGATGAACAGGCACATGGGTCAATACATGAGCGGGACACAGAAAGGAATTGGCAAGAATACCAGAGGTGCAAAACACCAGCTACTGGTAGACAGAACAATCAGCCGAGACTGCAAGACCAGACTGACCAACCTGTGCACTGCCTGGATTGATTACAAGAAGGCCTATGACTCAATGCCCCACAGCTGGATACTGGAATGCCTAGAATTGTACAAGATCAATGGGACCCTAAGAGCCTTCATCAGGAACTCAATGGGGATGTGGCGTACAACACTAGAGGCCAACTCCAAGCCCATAGCACAAGTTACCATCAAGTGCGGGATCTACCAAGGAGATGCTCTGTCCCCACTGCTGTTCTGCATAGGTCTGAACCCCCTCAGTGAGATCATTAACAAGACTGGCTACGGATACCGACTACGGAACGGAGCAGTTGTCAGCCACCTCCTGTACATGGATGACATCAAGCTGTATGCCAAGAGTGAACGAGACATCGATTCACTGATCCACACTACCAGGCTATACAGCAATGACATTGGAATGTCGTTCGGACTGGAGAAGTGTAGTCGGATGGTAACAAAGAGAGGGAAGGTAGTCAGAACTGAGGGGACTGAACTACCAGAAGGCAACATTGCAGACATAGAGGACAGTTACAAGTACCTGGGGATCCCGCAGGCAAATGGGAACCATGAAGAGGCCGCTAGAAAGGCTGCAACCACCAAGTACCTGCAGAGGGTCAGGCAAGTCCTGAGGAGTCAGCTGAATGGTAAGAACAAGATCCGGGCCATCAACACATACGCCCTGCCCGTGATCAGGTACCCTGCTGGGGTAATAAGCTGGCCAAAGGAGGAGATAGAAGCCACTGACATAAAGACAAGAAAGCTCCTGACCATGCATGGAGGGTTTCACCCCAAGTCCAGCACCCTGAGGCTGTACGCTAAGCGGAAGGAAGGGGGCCGGGGACTGGTGAGTGTCAGCACCACAGTCCAGGATGAGACAAGGAACATCCAAGAATACATTGGGAAGATGGCCCCAACTGACCGAGTGCTCAGTGAATACCTCAGGCAGCAGAAACCCAAGAAAGAGGAGGGAGACGAGGAACCATCATGGAAGGACAGGCCCCTGCACGGTATGTACCACCGGCAGATAGAGGAGGTGGCTGATATCCAGAAATCCTACCAGTGGCTGGACAAAGCTGGACTGAAAGACAGCACAGAGGCACTAATCATGGCAGCACAAGAACAAGCTCTGAGTACAAGATCCATAGAGGCTGGGGTCTATCACACCAGGCAAGACCCCAGGTGCAGGCTGTGTAAAGATGCCCCAGAGACTATCCAGCACATAACAGCAGGGTGCAAGATGCTAGCAGGCAAGGCATACATGGAACGCCATAACCAAGTGGCCGGCATAGTGTACAGGAACATCTGTGCTGAGTATAACCTAGAAGTCCCGAGGTCAAAATGGGAGATGCCCCCAAGGGTGGTGGAGAATGACCGAGCTAAGATCCTGTGGGACTTCCAGATACAGACGGACAAAATGGTGGTGGCTAACCAACCGGACATAGTGGTGGTAGACAAACAGAAGAAGACGGCTGTAGTGATCGATGTAGCGGTTCCCAATGACAGCAATATCAGGAAGAAGGAACACGAGAAGCTGGAGAAATACCAAGGGCTCAGAGAAGAGCTCGAGAGGATGTGGAGGGTGAAGGTAACGGTGGTCCCCGTGGTAATCGGAGCACTAGGTGCGGTGACTCCCAAGCTAGGCGAGTGGCTCCAGCAGATCCCGGGAAAAACATCGGAGATCTCTGTCCAGAAGAGCGCAGTCCTGGGAACAGCTAAGATACTGCGCAGGACCCTCAAGCTCCCAGGCCTCTGGTAGAGGACCCGAGCTTGAAGGATAAACCGCCCGCAGGGGCGTGCTGGGTGTTTTTTTTATATATATATATATATATATATATATATATATATATATATATATATATATATATATATATATATATATATATATATATATATCTCACACACACACACTCATAGTGAGTTTTACACGGTTCTTCTTTGCTGCATTTAGTTTTTAACCAAAACGCTTGAGATTTTTTTCCAATAGCAAAAATCTGATCTCTTTTAATGGTGAAAAAAACCCCTGTAATAATATAAATAAAATAAAATCACAGGACATGACATTTTAAACATGCTCAGTCAGACCACAACACATTTCATTACGTATTTAACGGAGCCCCTTTCAGGCCCTTTAACTGTTTTTATTGCTTGTAAGAGCAGCTGTTAATTTTGCAGCGCTTTCACAGTGGTTTATTTCCATAAATGTTTAACTTCATTAACTTTTATAACACATGCAATTGAACCATTAAGTTAATGTTCACCTCTGAACGTAAAGGCACTCTTGGCCGTGTAGTGCGGTGCCTCCATTGATGTTGCAGGAAAGCTTGAGCAGGAAGAAGAGTGGGAGCGGGATTCATGGAACGATGAGGAGGGAGTAGAGTTGGAGAGCCTGTTACAACTTCACAGAAAAGTCATGTTATGTGATTCCACTTCATTGTGTTTTATTAGACACATCCCCAGTTCAACTTTGGGAGGATACACAAACCTCAGGTCTGTGCCAAATCAAACGGCTGGTGTGGCGACCCATTTGGAAATAAAGGAGCAGCCAAAAAGTACCTAAAGAATTACCAAGTTTGAGTCTGACTGTGAATTTTGTCCAAAATACTTGAGCATTAAGTCTACAGTGGACACCCGATGTCAGTATAAAAAGACATGATGCCAATTGTTGTTTGAGCAGTGTTGATACTCAACTTTGTGGACCCGATAACGCAAAAATGAAGCGATGAGATATTGTCAGTGCGTCTGCTAAAAATCTTGATAAGTTCAAATCTCGGTGACTTTGACCTCAACGAGAAGAAAGTCACCTAGGACTTTCAAATTGATACAATAGGTGCATCTACTAGGAGGCTGAGGGGCAGCACTGGCGGCTGTCAGTATTTTTGCAATTTACTATAGGCAGCAATATTCTCAAACAACTAAACCACCACCAACAATAACCTCCGTTACACTTCTAACACTGTTATTTCCACCACTACGTTGTAGATTTTACCCACCAGTGAAAACAAAGCAGAAGATTTTAATGAGAGTACATTGCTGATCCCCAAAGGGACAGCTTGAACTGTAGAGTATCTAGCACTGTGTTCTTATTCTTGCTTCTATTGAACATGACCAAATATAGTCCGATACACTTTTTGGGACCTTTCACAACCAAGTGAGTGCTGATGAAAGTATATACTGAAACACTTCAGGAATGAGGCTTCATTATACCCGATTTCCTTATTTGTCCTGTTCACTTTGGACTAACACTGTGATGTGTGCAACATTTTGCAAAAGTCTGAATGTGTTTGCATGTAAAGAATTGGGTTTATAAGTATCCAAATTTTGAACATCACACAGCAACTTTGATGCGGCCTTGATGGCCTTGCATGACCTGCTTCAGGAAGTTTTAAAAGCCTTGCTCTGTTGAGAGTGGAGGGGGCGGGGGCCAAGAGGAAATCATCAGTGCCCCAGTTCCTGTCCAGTACCCAAGATTACTATGGGAGGGCGAGCTGCCATCTAGGTGGTGCATAAAACTTGACATTTCCTGCCTCTTGTATTGCTGACTTGACTTTTTGTGTGTGTGTGTGTGTGTGTGTGTGTGTGTGTGTGTGTGTGTGTGTGTGTGTGTGTGTGTGTGTGTGTGTGTGTGTGTGTGTGTGTGTGTGTGTGTGTGATGCAGCTTTTGGAGGGAGTCAGTTTGAGATGGAAGGTTCCTGTACTGAGGTCACAGATTACAGCCAGTAAGGAGTCACTGAGTCTATTGCTGAGCATAAATTTATTACGTAAACCTGTGAAAAAGCGAGGACGCAAACCAAGCTAATAGACATACAGTAAGATCTCAAACACACAGGAGGAACCCATCGAGTAAACAAACACTGAGTCATAAGGAGTATTATATAATACTACAGTGTAACGTTTCTTGAAAGTCAATCTTTTCTTAATGAAATCAATCTTTTATGCTTAACTGTGGTTAAATTTACCCAGACCTAACCCTAACTTGATCTTACGCATCAACAGCAGTATTTGAATGGCGCCATTTTAAAAGAGTTATCCTTTGGTGGAAGAATGTGGCCTGGGATGCTGAGTGGAGCAGCCGCTATCAAAACTCAAGTTAATGCATCACAAGCATAGGGCAGAATTTCAGCAGAGTGTATCTCATGTTGTATTTACACAGAAAGTGTTGCACTGCAGTTTTCATGCCATGTTTTCACTGCACACATAATAGTAACCAGGAGCTCCAAGTAACCAGAGCATCACATCTGTTTTTCATTTTCTATTTATTTTGCACTTCGAGCTCTGAGCAGTTGTAAGAGGCAGGTGACCTACGCTTAAGACTGCGCCTGAACGCCTCCTGTGTTGATACAGACTTTTGGTGATCCTCATTGAACTGTATTTTTGATTTGTTACTGACGTCTAGGGGCATGTTTAATATGTATGTTTCTTGAAACCTAAAAATATGACTGTGTCCATTTCCAGATGTATGGGCGTTACACCCAGGAGCTCGGGGTGTACGCCAAAGAGGAGGCCGCTCGGCTGAGGGAGAGCGGGCAGAGGCGATCAGTCAGCGATCGAAGCCGGACATTGGACCTGCTGGAGTACGACAAGGGCCGCTGTGCCAAGTGTCGGAGTAAGTTTCAGACCACACAGCCTCATACCGGTTTCTGGAATAAGGGCCACTGATGAGATTATTTCTGACCATTTGCTTAGCGTGATTTAATGACACTCAAATGAACAAAATTGGTGTGAAAAAAGTGCAAAGTTGGAGATTTCCCGTTTGGCTTTAACTAAAATCTTTTTAGTGCCAGCACCAAAAATTTCCTCTTTTGTTTGAACATTTGTGACATATAATCTAAAATCCTGCCACTGCGGTGATCAGTGTACAGTGGGCCATTGCTCATTGCTATACAGTTTACTTTTTGGCCTTTTTCGTTATGTCTTGTCATGTGTGATATAGCTATAGGACTTCTCTGTGACATTTTCTGGTGGTCGATAATGTCTGCCTTGGATGTGAGTGTCCCACAGTACTGACAAGACAAGATCGCTGAACATCGGGTTTTACTGTGGTTTGGCCATGTGCCCACTGACTGACAGCTCCAGTATGGCACAGTTCGATTACTATAAAGTGTGTTTACCCTGGTCATAGGGGCTTTTAGGAGGGAGGTTAGGGACCTTACTAAATTACTGGAATTCTGGACATTTCCGGGGCTTGGACGAAAGTTGATGGTTTTTCTAAATTGTTATTGGGAAGAAAAAAAATTAAGTCAGTCTTTGCAATGATTTAGCTCAGGACAGTCATAGAAAAGAAGTGCTATAGTGTGTGAGCCCCATTAATAGACATATAAACAGTACACACTCATATTTACATAGAGGAGCCTGAGACTTCCCCAGCTTGAGGAAAATTGTTTGGTCACTATTACCTTTGTGTTGAAAATGTAGTGCCAAAGGCACTTTGATAACTCTAAAATGGCTCCTCTGCCTTATGTTTAGCTTGAAGCATTTAGCTTACCGGAGAGTTAAAGGAAGAAAAGAGTCAAAAGTGCAAGAAAATGCTCACAAAGGCAATCCTTGGAGCTTTTTACTGCATGGCTGAATTCATGTGAACATTCCCCAGCCTTTCTCTCCCTGCTGTTGGTGGGGATAAAAAATAATTATGAGTGTGTGTGCATGTTATTCAGGCAGATAAGATTAGATAAGATTGTGTATAGAATGCTTTGCAGGATGAAAGAGGTTGTTAACACAACATTACAAAGGGAAAGTCTTTGACATTTATGTTGGATTTTGAAGGCACATGCACAGACTGTCTGTCTCAGATGGTAACTGAGACTGAGGTACCAGTTTAATTCTTGGTCAAGCTTTATTTGTCAAGAGGTCTAAATCCAGACTGACACTGGTACAGACTGATTCAGACCCAAATCAGGATAAATCTCCATCAGAGGGATTAATTGCCTACAGTTGGAGTTTACATGGAGTGTTACTTTTACAGTATTGGGCTTGAATGTTTTTTTTCAAACGGTTATTTTTTTTCCTGTGGAATAATTATTTATAAAATACACCTTTTTATAAGAGTTCAAAAAGAGTGCAGTTCACAAGTTTTGGTTTTCTGAAATAAAAGAAGTTCAAAAGCCATCAAAAATTTTCTGGCACTGGTCTGATTTAATATGTGAGTTAAATGGTCTATTTGTAACAATGGTCAGAGTTCAGGTTTTCAAATGATATTTGGCCTGTTTTAACCAGATTTCTCCAATGAGCTTTTAATGTACTTTATTATTGCAATCACTCTGTTCACTGTGCCAAAGTCACTGGTAGCAAAACAGCCCCAGGAAATGATGCTAACCCCATCATGCTCTGCAGTACAGTTTTAGGTACTCATTCAAACTCTGATAATTATGGCAAGATACCTTCATTTTTATCTCATGTGAACATAAAAGTCTTTATGATTGTCCATATGATCACCCACAAACTTTAGTCAAGACTGAAGGTGTCGATTTGGGGCCTCTTTCTTCACCCATCTCAGGGGTGGGTGAAAACCTGGCTGACGGTAGAGGGTGCAGGGGAGACATTTCTGTTTTGCTTTTTGTTTTTTTCAGATATGCATTGATCACACTGGTCTATTTCACTATGTTTTTCAGTCCAATGAGTGCGGTAAAAGCCCAGGGGAGAGATCCCAGCTTTAGTCAGTCATGATCACTAAGAGAAAATTAAGAAACTTGACTCTTACAATTGCATGCTGTGCGGTCTCTGAGCCACAGAGAAAGGGGAGTTTGGAGAATTCAATGAAATCCCATTATTGTTAAAACAATGACCATAATGAGTGCACATAAACTCTTGACAGGAACCATACATAAAAAGATCCTAATGACTGGCTGAGCTGTTGGAGCTTGCCTGGTTGTTAGTGCAGTAATATTAATTTATAAATAGCTCATTCCTTTCTACTACTGCAGAAATGCTGAATGAAGACGTTTCTCTTTTTTAGCGTTATTTTAAGGACACACACTGTTCTGACTTAAATCAGCAGACAAAGGCACCTGTGGGTTGTGTGCTTATTGTCAGTGCGAGCAACGACATCATGTCCTGTATGGTGTGGGCGTAACGTTGCAGTAAAGCTGATTTAAAAAGTTGCGAGTTAACAATCCAAACTGATAAAACAAGCAAAAAAAAAAAAAACAACAACCCAAAAACCAAAACTTCTCTTCCAAACCTTAGGGACATGTTGAGACTTTCTACTTCTCGACCTACACTAGCTTTATATTTTCCAGGTTTTTTAGCTTCCCCAAAAATTAATATCTTGCAAGCTCCCCTCAGCACATTGTTTGTTTTTCACAGTAGTGCCAAAGTTTTAGGAAAATTTGTGTCAGCAAATTAGTGTGCTGACATCACCATCTGAGGTCTAAGTCATCAAAGGTGAAAACCTTGATTCTAACTCTAGGCTATCACAGAATGTAATTTTTGCTCTTACTGTTATCCTAAGTCTTGGCAATCAGGGAACAAATAAACTCATTGTTTAAAATGACACATCCGAAAAAGAAAAATCAGTTTTGCCTTTCTCCAGCAGATAGGGTTAAGTTAGGGTTATCTCCTATAATGATGTCTGCTTCAGAGGTCTGAAAGCAGAAACAGTAAATGTTGTACGCGTTTCTGAAAATGCATGCATTTCTGTTCCTGGTCAGCATTGGCCACACAATACAAGCAGCATGTTTGCTATTCCAGGTTTTTGTTGCAGGTGCTGCAAAAATGAATGTATTTGACTAACTTGCACTGTGCTCACATGCAAGCCTCCCTCTTAAAAATCCTGTAACCTTCAGAAGGGTTGGGGTTAGGCCAGCCACCAATCGTGGTGTGCAAATGTAAATGTTTTGCAGCGGCTTGGATCAGTGGACAGTAACTTAGGCTTCATCAGACTGCTCAAGGGTTGTTGACCATGCTGCTGCCTATTCAGTGTTAATGGACTGCCCTCTGCTGTTCATAAGTGATCGGTGCAATCATATAGACATGTTTGTCCTAAAATCAGCAGATTTTTTTTCTGTGTGTGTGTGTGTGTCCTCTGCTCTCATCTGAGTGATGAGTTTTGCCGTTGTTTTGCTGACAGCTGATGACTCAGCTACCAGTCCATCTCTTTTGCCTCCTCTCATCATCTCTACACTGATCAGGACACCAAAATGCCAGCGATTCAATGGATTAGTCCCTCAGCAGGTAGCTTCAAGCATGAGAGAGGGGATGTGGATAGCTCTGCGGCCACACACACTTTTCTCTCTGCAGGAGGGAAAAGGCAAATATAAACACACACAGAGTGAGGCAAAGGCATAAGCCACAAATCGACCGGCTTAGAACATGTTAATATAAACCTGAAACACACACAATTTTTTATTTATTCATTGCTGTGGGTTATGACTTGTGCATGGATATGGACACACAGATATACACAATCCTGTTGCGGAGTTCTGCACAATCTCTTTATTATTGCTCACACTGTTTTCTAATTCACACTTTTCTCTCTCTCACTCACACACACACACACACACACACACACACACACACACACACACACACACACACACACACACACACACACACACACACACACACACACAGAGAGAGCAGAGAAACAAACTCACATCTCCCTTTTCATTTACTGCTGTTTAACGATGCTGAATGGCACAGCCAGGAGCAGTCTGTAGCCTGTCCTCTGCATTCTGCGGCCCCACAGGTGCTGTCATCGTTTCAGCTCCGTGTCGACACTGTGGTTTTTTTTGTTTTTTTTCTTTAATGATGTATAGAAGTCCCAGCAACTCGGTGCAGCCTGAACAACAAGTAGAGTGGGTTTCAATATGGTCAGCATTAGAGTACAAGTGAGCTGTAAGATGCTGATGGTCTGTTAATGTGTGTTTAATGTCAGCTTTATTGCTGGTCAATTTTTAGGGAATGGTATAAAAAGGATGGGCTCATTAGATGAGAGTAAAATCCTAATAAGAATGTAGTGATGCATACATGGCCTTATATTTAAATTTAAACTCAGAACCCAAGAATGTGCTCTTGAAATTAGCATAAATCATGGGAGATACTTAACCTGGTGTTTATTTTTAGGCTTTTGTTGTGTGGCTTTTGTTTCTCAGCCGGGCGGGATTTTTTTTTTCTTTTTCGTTTTGAACAATTGTGGGTGGGTGTGTGCGTGGGTGTGTTTTTTTTTTTTGTTTTTTTTTTTTTTTTTTTGGGGGGGGGGGTCTGACACAATAAACTAACACATAGGGACAGACATAGCTGGACTGGCCAGCGAGCCGCTGGCGATTTTTTGTTTTTATGGGCCGATCGATTTTGGGTATAAATAATGAAAGGTGTTGGATTGGCCAATTGGTCATGATCGACTCTGGGCTGGACCAATTACAGCCGAGGAGGTCGGATGCACCCTCCCCCTTGTTTAGCAATCTTATAGACGAACTGAAGAAAATGGAGAACAAAAAAGGGAAGGAGGTGCAGAAAAAATTATGGCCAAAAAGAAACAAGCCCTTCAGGCAGACGCTGCCAAATGTGTAAAAATAACTGAATTGTTTGGCGGTAGCTATGGCATAGCTTCCACAGATTTAGCAACATCAGCAAGTGGTGGAGGCCAGCAGGTGGATAAGGGAAAGGGGA